CGGTACCGGCTAGATATAGTCAGACTCACCTCGACACATAGCATTGTCTCTGGAACCCAAGTCCTTGAGAGGGGTTGGACACTCTCCTTTGCTGCAGTTGCTCCAGGTGAGAGGCGGAGGGCTGGGGTTGGCTTTTTGTTAGCCCCAAGACTCTCTTCCTGTGTGTTGGGGTTTATCCCGGGGGACGAGAGGGTAGCTTCCCTGCACCTTCAGGTCGGGGAACGGGCCCTGACTGTTGTTTGTGCTTATGGGCCAAATATCAGTTCAGAGTACCCACCCTTTTTGGAGTCCCTGGGACGAGTGCTAGATAACCGGGAGTCTCCATCAGGGGACTCCATTGTCCTGCTGGGGGACTTCAATGCTCACGTGGGCAATGACAGCATGACCTGGAGGGGTGTGATTGGGAGGAACGGCCCGCCTGATCTGAACTCAAGTGGTGTTTCGTTATTGGACTCCTGTGCAAGCCGCAGTTTGGCCATAACGAACACCATGTTCGAACATAAGGATGTCCATCGGTACACTTGGTACCAGGTCAGCCTATGTCGCAGGTCGATGATAGACTTTGTAGTCGTATCATCTGACCTGCGGTCGTATGTTTTGGACACCCGAGTGAAGAGAGGAGTGGAGCTGTCAACTGATCACCACCTGGTGGGGAGTTGGATCAGATGGCAGGGGAAGATGCCGCGTAGACCTGGCAGACCCAAACACATTGTGAGGGTCTGCTGGGAAGGTTTGGCAGAAGAACCTGTCAAGACGGTCTTCAACTCCCACCTCTGGTAGAGCTTTGACCACATCCCGAGAGCAGTGGGGGACATCGACTCCGAGTGGGCCTTGTTCCACTCTGCGATTGTTGAGGCGGCTGTTGCTAGCTGTGGTAACAAGGTGGCAAATACCAGTCATGGTGGCAACCCCTTTACCCGCTGGTGGACACAAGAGGTTTGGGGAGCTGTCAGGCTGAAGAAGGAGGCCTACAGGGCATGGCTGGTCTGTGGATCTCCAGAGGCAGCAGACGGGTACCGGATAGCCAAGCGGGGTGCAGCAGTGGCAGTTGCTGAGGCAAAATCTCGGGCGGTGGAGGAGTTTGGTCAGGCCATGGAGGAAGACTATCGATTGGCGCCAAAGAGGTTCTGGCAAACTGTCCAGCACCCCAGGAGAGGGAGGCAGCAACTCGCGCACACTGTTTACAGTGGGGATGGGGAGCTGCTGACATCAACTGGGGCTATAGTTGGGCAGTGGAAGGAATACTTCGAGGAGCTCCTCAATCCCACCTACGCGCATTCCGAGCAGGAGCAAGAGCCGGGAGACCTGGGGATGGACTGTCCAATCCCTGGGGCAGAAGTTGCTGAGGTAGTCAAACAACTACACAGCGGCGTAGCCCCGGGGGTGGATGAGATTCATCCTGGGTATCTCAAGGCTATGGATGTTGTAGGGCTGTCATGGTTGACACGTCTCTGCAACATTGCGTGGTCATCAGGGGCAGTTCCTAGGGAGTGGCAGACCGGTGTGGTGGTCCCCATCTTTAAGAAGGGTGACCAGAGGGTGTGTTCCAACTATAGGGGGATCACACTCATCAGCCTCCCTGGAAAGGTTTACTCCAAGGTACTGGAGAGGAGGGTCCGATCAATAGTTGAATCTCAGATTGAGGAGGAGCAATGTGGTTTTCATCCTGGCCGAGGAACTGTGGACCAGCTCTATTCCCTTGCAAGGGTGATGGAGGGGGCTTGTGAGTTTGCCCAACTAATCCACATACATTCAGTCCCTTTACCAGAAGAGCGTGAGTTTGGTCCGCATAGCCAGTAGTAAGTCGGACCTGTTCCCAGTGAGGGTTGGACTCCTCCAGGGCTGCCCTTTGTGACCGGTTCTGTTCATAACCTTTATGGACAAAATTTCTAGGCGCAGCCGTGGTGTGGAGTGTGTCGAGTTTGGTGGCAGGAGAATCTCGTCTCTGCTTTTTGCGGATGATGTGGTCCTCCTAGCTTCATCCAGCTCTGACCTTCAGCTCTTGCTGGGTAGGTTTGCGGCCATGTGTGAAGCAGCTGGGATGAGGATCAGCACCTCCAAATCTGAGACCATGGTTCTTGACCAGGAAAGGGTGGCTTGCCAACTCCGCGTTGGGAGAGAGGTCCTACCTCAAGTGGAGGAGTTTAAGTATCTCGGGGTCTTGTTCATGAGTGAGGGTAGGAGGGATCGGGAGATCGACAGGCGGATTGGTTTGGCATCTGCAGTGATGCGGACACTGAGCAGATCTGTTGTGGTGAAGAGGGACCTGAGCCAGAAAGCCAGGCTCTCGATTTACCGGTCGATCTACGTCCCAATCCTCAGCTATGGTCATGAGATTTGGGTAATGACCGAAAGAACGAGATCGTGAAAACAAGCGGCCGAAATGAGTTTCCTTCGTAGGGTGGCCAGACTCAGCCTTAGAGATAGGGTGAGGAGCTCGGACATTCGGGAGGGACTCGGAGTAGAACCGCTGCTCCTCCGGATCGAAAGGAGGCAGTTGATGTGGTTTGGGCATCTGGTCAGGATGCCTCCCGGACACCTCCCTGGGGAGGTGTTTCGGGCAAGTCCTGCCGGCAGGAGGCCCCCGGGTCAACCCTGGACACGTTGGAGAGGTTACATCTCCAATCTGGTGCGGGAACGCCTTGGGGTCCTGCCGGAGGAACTGGTGGAGGTGGCTGGGAAGAGGACGGTCTGGAGCTCCCTAGTTGGGATGCTGCCCCCGCGACCCGGACCCGGATAAGCGGAGGAAGACGACAACGACAAAACATTAAATGTTACTTTTGATAGAATTTTTTCTTATTTAATGGGCTACAGCTGTTGCAAAAGGATGGTAAAAACAACAATGTTTGACTATAATTTTGATTGAAATATACTTTCAAAATTCAATTTTCCATTTGGTAACAAGCATTAAAAGACTTGTATTATCCTAATAATAAAGAAAAACATCAGTTATTAATTGCCTTCCTGTAAGCGTTTACGTAACGGCAAACCTGAATATAACGAGGAAGTGTGTTGTATAGGTGCTACCTTTTGGATAAAAGGTAAGAAACAGCTGGCAGAGTTGCATTAAGTTAGGTTTTACAGTGATTCATCTCATAAATGAATTGTCTGATAAGTGTAATAGCCAATAAAATTAGGTATTAACAATAGTAATGATTGTTTGTATATGCAAATCAAAGCTTTCCTGGTGAATAACCATGTAACGTAAACTTTAGAATTTTCTTAGATTCTGTTAGCTTGTAAACCTCCTCAAAATAAATCTGTTGTTCATTACATTTCCACAGTTGCCCACTTCAGTAGTTCTAGAATATATATTTAAGATTGATTACAGCTAGTCTGTGCTAGGATTATTAACTGATAATCTGTGTTTGTGTGTGGTATTTTATTATTTACAGATCTATATTTTTGTGCTCACACTGGCTCTACGGAATAACAGATATACATTATTTATTCTTCAAGATCCATCCACCTGATGGGTGAAGTCTGCCTTAAATCTTTTAAAATTCTGCTGAGAAACCAAAGTTCAACACCACTTAGCCTGTTCACACTGACCGACACAAATAGTTCTTACATGGCATTGTTCATCGTTTGCCTGAAGCCTGCGTGTGCTTCCACATTCAGTAGGACAGCGATGAGTAAATACCTGATCTCTTTACGTCTGTGGAGCTCTCTGTGTTATGCAGATTTCTTACCATGTGTGACATTGTCATGTGCAGACGTAATGCATGGTGCAAACTTTTCACCTACTTATTTTAATTGGCATAATCATAATAGTGTCCAATATAAAACCCGTTTATGAATCAGTCCATCTGGATAAATGGACAGGTGAGTCCAAACTTTTGATGAATATAACCAGACCTAATGTCATTACTGAGCAGTTTCCAAAAACTTAATTATTTCCTTTCTCCCCCTTAACAATGGCAGTGATTTGACTGTTTACAGTTAAGGGCAAAAAAAAAAAAAAAAAAAAAAAAAAGCCTGGGGGTGGGGTGGGGGGGTATGAGGGGGAGGCGAGAGGACAGCTGGAGCGTGACACAGCTGGAGAACGGCGAGAGACGAGTGAGGGAGGGAGACGGCGTCAATACTGGCCACTCAAAAGGCAGAATTACTTCTGAGTAGCTGGAAGGCAAGATGATTGTCTGCTAACATGAAGGGTGGCGAGTTTGTTAATTGGTTCATTCAGCGAATCTTCATCTCAGAGAGACTATTGTTGGGCACTAATTGAGATGGGGGTGATAGCTCAGCAGCGTGAGAAAACCCGTGGATCTGAAGTCCACCAGTGTGCCACCTGGGGCTATCGCCATGGCAACAGCAGGAGATCAGAGCCAGAGGAGCTGATTAGGTCCATATGATTAAAGTCATACAACAGCTCATGAAATACAATTATATGTAGTTTGGAATTTAGCGAAGAGGGGAAGGCGACTGTGTGGACAGAAATCATCTGAGAAGGATGTTTGGATTGTTGTGATCCAGTAAAACTGCAGTTTCCTCTTCAGACCATCAGTGATGTCACTTCTTGAGTTTTTCAATGTATGGTTGAGTAAAGAAAGCTTTACAGTGTTTCCTCAATGTCAAGGCGCCTGGCCTAGCAAGGCATGTGACACATGAGGTAAAGTTATATTTTATACGTCTAAGTTGCAATATGATAGCACACACGCCTTGACGGTTCCTGATGACATATCTCCTAGACGACCGGGGCGGGACCAAGGCATCAAGGCAAGGTTCCTTGACATTGAGAAACACCCACAGTCACAATTGGAGGTTAAACTAGCATTTTTTTTACACTAAACTGGAAAGGAAAGTAGCTGAAGCTACCAAAAGACAGTAATTTGAATGATTTCTACAAAAGTACTGTATGTAACCAAAGATGCCACGCTCCCTTGTTTTCATTATTCTAATTTTAGTCAAAGTGATCCCTTCCTAGCAAACCTCTCCTAAGGCGGAGTAAAGGCACAACTTTTCTAGGTTCCTAAAATGAAACTTCACACAATGCCAGAGGCTAGAGTAAGAAAGAGAACGCACTTTGTTGTGTTTTCCCAACAGAAAACAGCGACTGACCAAAACATTGTTTTTTCTGTCAGTTAAAAAAAATAAAAATAAATCGTGACCCAATATTAATTACACAGTTGTTTTTTGTTCACCTTCACATTCTAAACTTTGTTTCTGTTACTTAGCTACTGCAAGTCTTACATAAAGATGTCACTTTATCACTTTTTCCAAAATTTAAATAAATTAAAATCACTCAAAAAAACTGATTAATCAACACCCAAATTTAGATTTATAAAACAAAATTAAGGGAGTCACTTTAGTGGTCTCAGGGGATATTCACAACCACTGCAGATAGTTTTAAAGGGATATTTCAGCCATTTCAAGCATGGTTCTATGTTATAATTACTACCGGTTACCCATCATATCTGTTCCTGGAAGCCATCCGTTTGAAGAAAGCGTTATATCCAACAAGATTGTTGGACCAACGACCAGTCCACCATTAGTGCTGTCTAAAAATACTCTAATCTTTAAAACTGTTTGTGTAAACATTGGTTTTACGGTTACACCATCAACAACAGTCGACAAGAGAATAAAAACTGATCCAAGCACAGCAACACTGTTACTGACGTTGGTGAAGGGGAATACAATCAAAATGACAAAATGTTGCAATAATCTGAAGAAAACAACGTTAGTTGTGTGTGGAAAAAGCTCTGAATGAATACATGCAGCAGCTTCTTAATGACTTACCAAAGGGAACAAGTATTTGGGAACCACAGAGTTTTACCGTCTTTTAAGTTCTTCAGTTTACTGCAGTCAGCGGGTTTACATGCACATAAGAAAACTGAACTATTGCTCTAAAAAGACTCATGTCAGTTTTCTAAATTGCATGTAAACGTGTTAGCCTGGCGGAAGGTGAAATGGACTTAATCGAGCTGAAGCACCTAGATAATAGGGTAGCGATCCGATTACATTCACATGTAAACGGATCAGCCGAGCAAAACCAGTAAGACACTCGCATTCTGGAAGGGACAAGATCACGGAAGCGGTGTTCTGGCAAGACCATCATCACAAAGCTATACGCGTAATATCGTAAAACATGACCGTACGTACCAAATAAGCTGTGCTGCAGGGTTGTTGTTACACATTCCTTCAGCCATTGTGCATATCTAGTTTCAATTCTGTCTGCTTCACTCCCACCAGCCTCTGTTTACTGCTTGTGTTGCTATAAGCTAACCGGAAGAATGCCGGCATGAAAAGGGGCATGTCGCCACCTACTGGACTGGAGTGGAACACATTTTATTTAAGAGACTGGTTTTCTATTGCACATGTAAACTAGGATAAAGACTCCCAGCTCATTACAATAAGATTGATTTGGATCGACTTTGATGTCAGTCAGTACACAGGTAACCACACTGACTGAAGCTGTTCCTCTTTTTTGGTTTTCATTGTTTTGATAAGTACCATTGATTCTCCCTTATTAAACTGTTCAATAGTTGCTTTTAATTGAGCATTTACTGTTCTAATGCACAGTGGGATATGAGGCAGATCATCTCTTTCATATGTCTCACTGACATGCAGCTCTCTGGCTCTCAAAGACCCTCAGTGGGGTCAACGTTTCTTTGTCTCCAGTGGACCAAAATGTGTGTGTGTGTGTGTGTGTGTGTGTGTGCGTGCGTGTGTGTGTGTGTGTGTGTGTGTGTGTGCTGCTGCTGTTTTATCAGTTTTTAATCACAGGAGCTTCCTTTTCTCCCTCCCTCCCCCCCTCTCTCTGTTCATTTTGTCCAATCTGGAAAAGTAGCTCTGATAACAAGATCTCAGCTATAATGGAGCGGTGGATCCTTTAGCATCAGAACTATTTTTCATGCACCAGTCAATAAACAACAACAATAATAATAATAATAGTCATATTTGTACACCCTCACATTGATGATGTCATTTTGCAGGACTCATGCATTGGTTTCTGTCACACACAGGGGATTTGTCATCTTTCTTAGAGATGCTAGACCGCTTTTAGTTAAAACCCTAAAACATGGAGTCAGTCCAGCAGCAAGGGAGCACAGGAGGGGGAGGAGGGGTGAGGGTCACAGGGGTGTGGGTGCACAGGGAAAAAGAAACGGGAAAAATGGGGAAGTGATGGAGACTAAAAGAGTGAAAGGGATGAGCGGAAAAAGATGGGATAGGGCTTAGAAAAGAGGGGGTCAGTGCTCACCCATGCAAGACTCAGAATCATTTCTGGAAAGTCTCATTCCATCTATCTCCAAGTCTCCCACAACCATCTCTCTGCATGCCAATTGTGTGTTTTTTTCTGTCTGGAGCACAACAGACGCCTTATATCATGTCTTATGAGACACTTTTGGAATCCTTGAAGTTTTTTTCTTTTGTCTGTCTTTAACTTTGGCTCTTGACCTTTCTTTACTCTTTATAGTGGAAAAGAACTGATTTAAAAAATCATTGGCATGACTTTGACTCTCACATAAATCTGCAATGAATCACTCATGAATTTCATGGGTGGAAGATCTATTTTAAAATCGGTCAGGATGTAGTGTCTGCTGGCCCAAAACAGGGCGTGAAGTGAGAAGATCCAAACCTCAGACAGTCAAGGTTATACAGAGGTATGTTGCAGAAAATGTTATGATTCGTTTAGAGGAAAAGATGGCAGCTTGTTGTTGTAGATTAATACAAACAATTCACTGTAACCCTAAAATGTTGCCTATTACTACTACATTTTGTTTTGATTGTTTTCTTCTGTGTTTTCCACAGTAGGAGATGCTGTGCAGGGCAGATTCCACCCACGGGAAGTATATATATCATTCAGACAAACTTTTAAAACATGCTAAAAGTGTACTGCAGGATGCTCCTCACCAGTATGTGGTTACTGTTTAGATGGTATTTATTATAACCATGAATCTGAAGTGGATCTGTTTCTCTTAAAAGGAGGAAACCATCTTAAAGAAATAATTCCTAGTTAATCAGAAAATACACTAAAGCTTAATCAGCAGGAAAGCATTAGCCTGGCAAGCCATCCTATGTACGTGGATGCATATTCTGGCCACGGCCCATTGACGACTTTCAGTTGTGGGGCTGGAGCTAGGACTCTCAGTGTTTCCCAACCCTGGTTCTCAGAGACCACTGTCCTACATGTTTTCCATGTCTGCATCAGCACACCTGATTTACATCGGCTCCTCAGGAGGACATCAAGTGCTGCAGATACCAGTTAATCACTCATTCATTTAAGTCAGGTGTGTGGCAGAGGAGACACACTGCTGTTTGAAAGGGCAACATGGAAAACATGCAGGACAGTGGTCCCTGAGGACCAGGGTTGGGAAACACTGTTTCAAACTGTCTCCACATGCTACTGGATAACAAACAACGTGACACACTTGCTGCTACAGATGTCAATGAGGCAGTCCACCATACTACATCAAAGATGCACATACATCCTTTTCCTAAATAAACCCAAGTACCTCTATCTGCTCTTGACTGAAAGGCAAGCCTAAGTCTAAATAGTCCAAAGTTGAAGCCAAAGCCGTTTCAAACGAGTCGTCGCCATCTATTTTTTATTAGAGTGCTGTAACTGGCCCATTAAGCCAATAGAGCGCTGTGATTAGACCACAATAGAGCCATCACCATCTTAGTTTCACTCAGTCGCAGTAACATCCCACCCACCTGGCTGGTAAGACTGCTGTGATTGGCCCACCAAACCAATAAAGCGCTGCGATATGACCGTTACAGATGTCAGTCAACGGGGCAATCTGCCATTACACTGTGGAAGAATTACTTAAAACATAAACATAAAATGTTTCTCTAAATAAACACACTGTGATTAACAGCTACAATACTGGATGGTGCAGCAGAGGTTCCACTGGAGCGTAGGAGCTAACAGTTTATATATATATATATATATATATATATATATATATATACATACATATATACATATATTAGCTCTTACCGCCATATATAAAAATGTGTCAGTAAGAGCTAATCACATTTAGTCAGCACAAAAACAGCTACCTTTAGTTTCTAAGGCATTGAACTACAGTTTGCTCTAGAAGGAGCTAAATGCTATTTCCACCACATTCTGCAAAAGGTAACAGATTGGGTGAGATCTTGCAAGAATGTGTGAGACTGAACAGATTATCTATCAGATTTAAATAAAATGCCCATGAGTCGATTATTTCTTAAAATAAAATTATCCAAATTTTCAAGTCTGGACTATAAGAAAATGGGCGATGTGGATTCCTTCAAGCACAGCCCTTTAATTTCCACATCAGCATCCCATGCATTTTCTCATCATTCTTGAATTAGAAGTAAACGAAAAGGACTCCACTTTCCTCTCAGCTTTTTATGTGCTTTACCTTTTGAAACTTCTTTGTTTTTCACCACAGTTATCTTCTTCACCTTTCTCTATCTTGACATCTTTTACCCCCAAACCTGATGATCCAACAGTCAGACTGACAATCCTAACCGCATTTCACAGCATCCCTAAAGCAAAACTTTGCACAGTGTGATGGTGTGGGCTGGTACACAATGTCCTCAACACACTGTGCTCACTCTGGCATCACCGACTGTGAGCCTTCTCCTTTTTGAAATGACACAAAAAATGTTCTATTAAGCTTTCATGTTATTATTTATGGGTATTAAAACAGCTGTTTATTTAATAATGAGGAGGCCATTAAAAGATGACTCCTTTTTAATAAGTCAAAGCTAAAGCACTGCTTATTTGTAATTTGTTTGGAAAGATGGTGAAGAGTTTGACTATTAGACACAAAAAGTAATGCCTTGGTTTAATCCTACAACGATTATACTCTAGAGGGTTACATTCTGCAGCTTTAGGAGATAACAGATGTATACTGGTGCTTATTTAATGAGGTAGCTTCACAAATTAAAGCCCTGAACAAAAACCAGCCGGGATTGTCGAGTTGTTTTTCACAGCAAAGCTTTGATGAAAGTCAGCATGGGACCCAAACTGTCTCATCAAATCGAACGACTCCGAGCCGGCTCATCAGAGGTGAATGCCGATTACGTTTCTGACCAAAAGACGGATGACATCACCACCTTGAGGCTGCAATTTTCCAGAAGCTGTCCAAATTAGCCCTCAACTGGTAGGATAATGATGCTCACATTTCAAGCGGATTTCATAAAGGAAGAGCTTGCTCGGGGCATGGTTGTACCTCTTTCAGATTCTGAGAATCTCATGCTTGTCCAGACAAATTATCGGGAAGGCAGGAAATTAATAAATAAATCAGTAATTGTTACCTCATAAATGTTGAAAGATGTTTAAATCTTGTTTCCTCGTTTGCATGTCTGCATCTCTCTTGCTTTGATCCTTTTTCACAGACTCTCAGAAGATAGATGCTGGTCTGGAAAGGTCATTAACTCATGGGATGTGCCTGAAAGCTTCGTGCACATCACTGTGTGTGTGTATGTGTGTTTGTGCAAGTGTTTGTGCATGCATATGTGCAGCAGAATTAGCCACCCAGCAACTTCTCCAACACAGTGACAGAAGGCAATTAATGAGAGCCCGTGTTCTTATCAGCTACCTAGCAACCTTGACTGTTCCGCCCGTCTCCACCGGCAACCAAAGCTGCTGCCTGTGATCGATTGCTGGGCTTGACATTTCTCTCAACTACAGACCTAATATGTTGCACGGGATAAAGAATGAAAATAAATGCATATCTCTGGTGAAATCATGAAACATCAAAGCCCCAGTGTGTAATAGTTCCACCTGTTTACTACAAAACTCTGTGTATCCAGTGCACAAACGTGTCCATTTGCATTAATATTTCCCACCTACTTCAATTGTAAATATTCCTCTCAGCTTGAAATTTTACATTTTCAAATACACAAACTGTGACTGATGCTCCATGGCCATCCACCATCTTGAAATACAGCAGCTATCTGTGGACGTATGAGCTTCGCGTTACGAGTTTGCACTATGACTGTAACCTGAAAGAAACAGCAGAGGGCAGCAGTGCGCCCTGGAAGCATGGAGTCTGCCAATTCAACTAAGAAGAATAAGAGACTAGCTAGCTACACTGCTGCTGTACTTTGTTAGTTTGAATAAATAACAACGAAATCAAAAACCACAACAAATTTGTCGGCTAGTCATCATGTCCAACACTCGGTAGCCACATACGATCATTATAGTTGGAAATAGATTCCCAACCTGTGAGAGAAAGCGGATTGGGGGGTTGCCAACTTGCTGTTGGACCAAAACTGCTATTTCTGTGACCGTCTGCATGGTCGCACATCCTTTAAAGATCGGACAACTGTTTTGAAATCCTGCTGTGTGCGCCGGGCTTTAGACAACTTCAGAATTCTCAAACATCTCGTGATGGGGCTGCAGACATGAGGCTGGACGTTTGGAATTCTCAAAGACGGTGCATTTGTTTCCACTGTCTTGGATGCGTGGCCACCATGCTCCACCTAGGGTTTTGTTACATAAACCAACCTTGTTACAAAAAATCAGAGTACTCACAAATCAACGAGGAGCCTTAATACTCAAAACTCCCCTGACAAACCTGCCTAGAGCATCCATGTACATGCTCTGGCAGATTTATTTTATGTACATCTTCGAGATGCCTTTATCTCGTGTGACGGAGGGCCTTAAAATTGAGAATTTTCATGCCAGTACATGTCTCAGTCCTCAGCGGGCCGTGATTAATTGATCAAAGTCTGGTGTACAAGACTGTAAAGGCAACGGCCACTTCTTCCAGCAGATTCCCATCGGGGAAAACCTGAACACCTTCATATAAATCAATGAGGCACAAAAAAGGACTTTAGTCGAACTACTCTTTTCACAGCTGATTACGAGTTCCTACACTGATTGTCCATCATTATCAGTGTATTTACCACTGATTTCACATGCAGTGTGAGGTATTTGGACATACTGTAATAGAAAATGGGGATTTTTACTGAAAGTCTGCACACAAAAAAATACAAAATAGTATGTAATGAATGTTGCTTTGTTATGTTTATCTGTGGAACATCACCATCAACAACCTGCCTCCGTATAGCTGCAATAAACAGCTTTCCGTTTGGGTGCCTGTTATTAAATTCAGACTCTGTTGACCCTGCAGAGTTTCAGAAAGCTTCAGCGTTTCCCTCAGATCGTGTTCTTGAGTTAGTAATTGCCAAAGCAATTGTTAGTTAAGTGAGAAGGGGCAGGAGGTGGGTGCTGCTGCACTTTTCTTCTAATGTATTAACGTGCTGCTCTTAACTCTGCTGAGCCTGAACGACTTGCTCCTCGTCAGACGGCTCGGTGCTGTAGCTTTTTTAAAAGAGTTCCCCGTCTTGAGGAATTTTTACCGGTCAGATGTCCTTTTAGCTAGAAGTAATATAAAGGGAACCAATTTGTGGCTAATTTTCTAAATGTGCTACCTTGTGGAGTTTCACAAATGGCACACTGAAATTCAAAAAGAAGCTTCAAAATGTTAGTGCCCTGATTTACAAAAAAGTTTCTAACCTTTCACTGTTTTCTCAAGTGCTTAAAGGGCACACACAAATCTTTGGCAACAGCACACTCAGGCTAGGGCTGGTTAGACCAAGGATGATAGAACATTAAACTTTTATATGATTTCTAGTCTTTTTTCATGTTGTTCGTGTGCGTCTGCTAACTACACCTTTTACTGACACAAACTCACACGGTTTTTAAAATGACTTGGATTTGGTTTCGATCCGTTTGACAGATTTGCTGATAAAATGTACTTGCTGTAGAATAATCTTTAAAAATATCTACAATCACTCACACTTTGACCACAGCGAAGGTGTCAGAGATGTTTTCAGCTTCGGCGCTTCGTTCACTCGCGGATATTTCCAGCTGTCGGCTCTCAGCTGCACTGTCAACACGCAGACACCCCTTGTATAATCCAGCTTCTTTTCCACAGATCTGTGCGCCAAGGTCGTTTACACAAAGGGATTTAACAACGGGACACTAAGATGCACTGCAGACACCGAGCTGCTAAAATTGGCTTTCTAGAGTTGAAATGATAAGCGTCTCCTCTCGTAGCATTTTTTCCCCCTTTCAAAAAAAATTCTCATATTTTGTGCTTCACTTTGCTTTTTATCTTGCTTGTGGCTTTTTCTCTTGATTTTAAAGAGCTAAACTTCAGTTGCAAGATAATTATTCCAGTTGGAGGTAAAGGGGTTTAAAATATTCCCAAAACCATCCCCACTGGACATCTGTTCAGTATAATTTTGCCCTTTGCTGCTAAACAGGCAATCATCATACCACACTGGTTGTGAGAGCACTAACTAACCCTGCTGTGCTGATGTTAATCAGGTAAAAATGAGCTGAGGGGTGAAGAGAAAATGTTCTCTCAACCAGTAAAATGAAGCAAAATGACACTGGTGTGCTGCTTTCTGAAGGATCGTGTCGTTATACAGGAGTCGTGTTTGTGTGTGGTGCTTGTTCAGCTGATTGTTTGCATTCAGACTGCAAACTTGTAAACGATAAGCATGCATGACACTGGCAGCATGCAATTACAATCTCTGCTTGTGTTACAGAGCAACAGAGTGTGTGCATGTGTGTGTGTGTGTGTGTCCGTGAGTGACAGCAAGCCAGTGAATGAGCACAGCCTTATTGGAGAGCCCCGGAGACTGAAAGGCAGATTAATTAAAAATGCTTCAGATACCCTGCCTGAGCTGTCACTCCCTCCACAGAACGGACCTTCCTGACAAAATCCCTCAATCACACATTCATATTCTTACAGACACACTCATACACACTCATATCATCAGCGGTTCTGCCCGGTGTTTAGTTCAGAATGTGTTCAGGAAAAGCTGCAGTTTGACACAACAGAGTTTGTCTTTTTGAAGTGAAGGTATCGACACGTAAGGTGCAAAATAGGGTACAGAAAGACTAGGATGACCAGTAAACGAGGGCTAACTGATACTTGTTCAAAGCCATATTATGCAACTTTTTCATATTTAAATCATTTTCTTGAGCCAGTACGTGCTAAAATGATCCTTTTCAGAGTTAAGGAAATGTTTCTCATGCCCCCACCGCTCTCAGTGGAGAGAATGCCAGACTTCAGAGTGGCGGGCTGCCTCCTGTTTAACTTACAAAAAGTGGAGCTGACATATCTGGCGCTGCAGTCTGCTTCCAGCTCGTTTCCTGCATGTTTTAGATCAATTACACAGCTGGTTTAATTATTTTGGTGATGAACCACTCTTGTAGAAACTAATGAAGGCTGAGGAGACATTTCAGCTGTTAAAAAATGGAGTTAAAAAGACAAACGCAAAACGAGGATGTAAGTTTCACTAAACGGACACTAGGGGGTGCTAAAAGCAAGCTAAAACTGCAGTCTCCTTTCGACGAAAAAATAAAATAAATTGTTACACCTGTTTTCCTTAAACACGGTTGACAGTTTCAAAAATAGTTTCACTTTTCTTTGAGAGGCAGAAACATTTTGTGCATTAGTGCCCCCGTTTACTGTGAAACCATTTGCAGCAGCAAAGCAGAAATAGTCAAAAAGGACCAGACCATAATTTTCCTTCAGATGCTCCTGAAAGAAAAGTAAAAGACTTGGGAACAACTTCAGTGTGACATGTGTGTTATCAGCTCTTCTACACAGCTGTGAAGGTGTTTGGCTCAGGCTGGATCTGCTCATAGACAAAAACAGTGAATCCTTATGATTTCCCAAAGCCAGCTAAAGATTCACGTATGCCTGGTTCCACTTACTGACTATAAATTGTGCTCTTCGTTAAAACACATTTGCTAGCTTGGAGTTTAAAGATAGACCGGGGGAGCCATGAAAACTTCACATGTGACAGAATTCTTCGCAACGATGGAAACACAGTTGTAACAGAAGAGTAGGAACAAGGGAAGGTGAGCAGTTATAAAAAATAAAAACACAAAAGCTTAAATCAAACATTCAGCACATTGAAGACATTTTTCCACAGATGTTTGGTTCCTTTGCACGTTCTCATTACACTTGCCTTTTTTGGCACTTTTAAGACTATTTGCGTCTGTAAACAATTTAAATAATGAGCTCATTTGTAGTGTAGGCATTTGATAATGTGGCGTGTCACGCCGTGTGTGCACAAGGATCTCCGTGTGCTAAAGTGTGCGTGTGTGTGTATGTGTTACATTTCATGTCCATAAAGTGGAACTCTAAACTATTCAAACACGTACAATATAATCGTTGATTCTCTACATTAGCTTATGTGTGTGTTTGTGTCGGAGAGTGTGTTTGTCACAGTTAGCCCCCGGTTAAAAACTCCTCCGTGTTTGTTTCTTTCACCAGGAAACTTCCTCGGTTAGTCGTCGATGATGAGTCACAACGATCAGATCAACCAACGATTGAATCAACAAATCGATGATTTTTTTCTCAACAACGGACAGATAACAACTATGTGCACTGGAACGACAGTCCTGCTTCCTCTGTGGAGCCTGCAAAAGTAGCCGGGGCTGAGAGCGACTTAAAATAATAAACAGGAGTAAACAGCTGCAGTACGTAGCTTTCAATTAGAAACAACCATAAAGGGCAACACCTTCGAGGAGACATTTTCTTTTAGACACAGCCAATGAGTACTTAAGGATCACAGTGCTGAAATAAAGTGCTAAAATACTCTACTAGCATTAATCGCTGCCGAGGCTGTGCAGAATGTTGTAATGTTAAAATATGTCAAATTCTTCAGATTTCCAAATGTGAAAGATTATAAGTTTTTATTTTCTGTTAGAAGCTTTTGTAAAATCTCCAGATTAATTTATTGAACATTTGGTAATAAGGCCTGAAAGCAAGTCTTTCCCTTCCCCTCAGTGTTTGCAAAGTAGATAGTTTCATATTCACCAGGTCTGAACTTTTTCTTCAGTGTATTCGTGAAAAATCCATGAAATTAAGTTTCAGATGAAAACCACTACAGCTAAAAATTATTTCATTCTCCCTATGTTATGTCAGAGCTTTGGCTTGGTAATAAAAGAACAAAATGTTATAATGCAGTGGTCTGCAATTGTTGGCAACCAGTCAGAATCACACAGAAATGGAATATTTGACATTTTTGTGAGGAGTTTTATTTATGGCCAGGTCACATGTGTGACTTGATGTAATTGCAAAAAATTAAGCATGTGAAAAAAATTGCATAAATGTTCCTTAAACCATAAAATGGGCATACTCTTATTAATTTATTAGCTTTGATCTCCAGTATATGAGTCGTTTTTTGAGGAAAACAGCTCTGGTGCTCCTGTTTCTGGAAGTAAAAGTTAATGGAAGGAGCAGAGACTTTTGCTGGCTGATGTTTTGCTTCTCATCCAAGCAGCTCTGTCAATTCTAACTGGAATATGGGAGGGTCAAGCTTATAAATTGTAGCTGTCTGTTGTTGCTTAACAAGCAGGAACTACATATGAACCCCCCTCTTCCACACCCCCTGAGGAGTCGGAGTCATTAGGCTCTATTGTGTGGGAATGTTTGTTGTGATTAGATGCAGGACAGTGAGTTGGAAAAGGGTAGAATGCCTTATCTAGGTCAGGGATGAGGTCCTGCCCCAAATGGAGGAGTTTAAGTATCTCAGGGTCGTGTTCACGAGTGAGGGAAAACTGGAGCGTGAGATCGGTAGGCGGATTGGTGCTGCGTCTGCAGTGATACGGGCGTTGTACCGGTCTGTCGTGGTGAAGAGAGCTGAGTCAGAAGGCGATGCTCTCGATTTACCGGTCGATCTACGTTCCTACCCTCGCCTATGGTCACGAGCTTTGGGTAGAGACCGAAAGAACGACATTGCGGATACAAGCGGCTGTTACGTCCTCTATTGGTGGATATGGAGAAGGACGGGGAGTAACACAGAGGCATGTGCTTCAGTTGTGGAAATTGTAAACATTGATTTATTAAAAGGATTTTAAAATGACAAAAAGCCCCAAATCTAAAAGTACTTAAACACATTGTTAAAATGACCAAGGGCTTACGTTTAAAACAGACATCGAATGCTCCCAAACATTCACAAAACAAAGTCCACTGACTTAAACACAAGTTTGGGAGCCAAGAGGTAACCAGCACTCTGGTCCCTCGTCTGTTAAAAACCTCCAAAAGCTCTTAAGCTTCACTAAGCTTAAAGAACTAAAAACCCATTTAAAAGCCATTAAAACACAAACAAATGGAGCACATGAGAGACTGGCACAGATCCAGTCTCCCTCTTCCTCCTGGCAGCTCTCCCTTTTACGCTGCTCAGGAGGTGATCAGGCCAAGTGAGTGCAGCTGTGCAGGTAGGAGGTGGAGGCAGCACTGGTTGTCCTCTGCAGCGTCCGTTTTCTGAGGCAAACAGCAACAGCCGCGACAGTGGCCAAAATGAGTTTATCACATGATAAATGACCCGCACTTGTATAGCGCCTCTCAGAGTAAGGACTCCAAAGTGCTTTACACTACAGTGTATCATTCATCCATTCACACACTGATGGTGATGAGCTACGATGTAGCCACAGCTGCCCTGGGGCGCACTGACAGAGGCGAGGCTGCCGAGCACAGGCGCCACCGGTCCCTCTGACCACCACCAGCAAGGTGGGTTAAGTGTCTTGCCCAAGGACACAACAGCAGAATTCTCTGTCCAGAGCCGGGATCGAACCTGCAACCTTCCGATTACTGGACAACCCGCTCAACCTGTTGAGCTACTGCTGCCCCTGCTCAAGAGGAGCGAGTTGAGGCGGCTCAGGCATCTGGTCAGGATGCCTCCTGGACGCCTCCCTGGTGAGGTTTTCCGGGCACGACCAATTGGGAGAAGGCCTAATGGAAGACCCAGGACATGCTGGAGGGAATATGTCTCTCACCTGGCCAGGGAACACCTTGGGATTCCCCCAGAGGAGCTGGTCCAAGTGGCTGGGGAGATGGAAGTCTGGGCCTCCCTGCTTAGCCTACTGCCCCCGCGACCCGACCCCAGATAAGCAGCTAAAAATGGATGGACGTAGATGACAGGACAGTGTGACTTAGACTGAAACTGTTTTGGAATTAGATATAAAGCTGCAGTGTAGGTGCTGGAAAGATGAAACCTGAGGCCTCCTCCTCTGTTAAATGTCAGTTGAAGACACTTTTCCACAGATGTTTGCCTCTGATTGGCTAAGAGCAATGCAACTCTTTGGCTGCCTACATTCACTCTTCTTTATTGAGTAAAAAGCTCAACCTTGTGGTTGTGAGCCGAGTCCATGAATGCTAATTTCCAGTGACGGTGATCCGTCTGGCTTTTTCGGACCTGACTCTTTCCCCATCCGTTTTTTTCCCCTTTTATTCCAATTCAGCATGCAAGTGAATCCAGCACGATGACTCGTACTTCGAAAAGAGCAACTATTCAGTGTTTCTCAGTGAACCTCTGCATCACACATCACGCATACACTCCAAGCAGCTGTGCATCCAATCTCCTGTCACTTAGCTTTGTTTAGACGGGTAACTTGAACAATTTTATGATGGAAGATATCAGAAGAACTGAAAGGGAATCGTAGGACGAGACAATAAGATCGCCCAGCTTGTTTAGCTCGTCAGTCAGAAGCAGGACTGTTCAACCAGTTTACACATTATCATAAAATACTCATCACCAAAAGGCAGCTCTCTGAGATGTATCTGATGTAAAAATGTTTCATATGTTACATGTTTACAACATAAATATATTACCCTATTAAAAAAAAGTTAGCATGTTCTCCCTGTGCATGCGTGGGTTCTCTCTGGGTAGTCCGGCTTCCTCCCACAGTCCAAAAACATGACTGTTAGGTTAATTGGTCTGTCTAAAATTGTCCTTAGGTGTGTGTGTGTGTGTGTGTGTGTGTGTGTGTGTGTGTGTGTGTTTGTGTATGATTGTGTGTCCTGTGTGTCTCTGTGTTGCCCTGCGATGGACTGGCTCTCGGTCCAGGGTGTACCCCGCCTGATTGCCCGTTGACCGCTGGAGATAGGCACCAGCCCCCCCGCGACCCTACGTGGACAAGCGGGTTCAGAAAATGGATGGATAGATGAATAAATCTGAACTAAAGAAGAAAAGAAAAACCTGAAATGAGCAACCAACGTGGTTTAGTGATGAATCCCCGAGGCAGCCAGCAGAATTGTTAAAAACACTGCGATACCCAGAAATGTGAGAGTCGTTAACAAAAAGCATAATTCTTATTTAAACAGAAAAATCCTTCCCGTTTGACCCGATTTGCTTTTTCCAAAGCATCTATAATCACAGTGGCTATACTATTGATGCTGAGCATACACCTTATCTGATCACTGCCCTGTTTACTTCAACAGTTCACAACAGTTCTGAATCATTTCCATTGAGATTGCCACAAGTCCAAAAAAATTCCATTGTGTATTTTTTTCCCCTCTGGAGGCTTTAGACCGACATCAGAACCTCTTCATTGATTCATCGCTGTTTCTTTAGAAAGACTAAAGAGGTGGCACGCTGGTAATCCCAAAGGTACAGTATCTGTACACTTGGCAGTCTTGTTGTCTGGATTCTGGTCCTGTGGGGCTCAAGGTAGACACTTCTCATTGTTAGGAAGTGGGATAAACACTTTGCTCTTGTAATGTAATATCTAAAGGCGTACGCAGGAGCAAGGCTTGGCTACTGAGGACGGTCGAATATGGAGTTACTAGGTGTGATTAAGGGTGGGTGAAGAAAATCTGTTTGAAGAACAATTAGATCAAAGAATAATTTTAAGACTGTAGGAAAAAGCACATGTAACTGTGGACAGAAAGGAATAATTGACCTTTCCGTTTGGTCGGGCTGAACGGATGAATATCTGAGCTAATGTTATTCCTTAACTAAAGGCCTCCGGGGTCTTTGCAGGTAACCTCAGCCTGACTCCTCCTATTGTTACAAATGAAGTGATTATTTTTAAAATGCCGCTCTGCCCGTATAGCCTGTGGTATTAATCTAAAACTAATTGATTGGTGGTTCCTGGAACCTAATGAGGAAAAGCTGGCAGTAGATTTTGAATAAAAGGCAACAAAAGAACCCAAATCTCCTTTTTAGAAATGGGACGTAAACGCCCCGGATTCAGTGTGTTGTAAAAGGTATTCCACTCACTCCCAAAAGAAGTCCTGTTGATCTGTTACCAAAGTAATGAGTAGGCTTCATTATCACGTTGTGAGAATTAGCATCAGAATTTATTTTTTTATGCGACAAATTTGGATCAGGGTAGTCTTTTGTCAAGATGAAACAATAACATGTGAAAAATAAATAAATAAATAAACAAACAAAGAAATGTTTTTTTTTAAATTGAAGCATAAATGGTCACATGCATAAGACGGGAAACATATTTCCTCTCCCTCACGCCGACAGATGTTTATGAGATGCGGTCATAAGGGGAATGAATCCGAACAGTTTTGGCGACGACTTTTATTAAGCTGAAAAAAAAAATCTAAACTAAATATTTCTGCAAACCAAATAATTCAGAAGTTTCCATCAAATTATAGTCGCTGAAGATTGAACCCTACTTTTTAAGCTGTAACTAGTAACTTGAGAGTGAATATTCCTGTCTGCTTTGATCATTTATTTATTTATTTTCCTATCAAACTCGCCCTGAAAAGTTGGGTAAATTCAAGTCTTATCCATGCAATGTTCAAAAGACTAAACTGGGAAGGAGCCTTCTATCAATCTGGCCCTGATAAAGATCCTAAAATGTGGATTTAGTTTTCCAAAATCACACTTCTGCAATAAATATGTAAATAAATAAGACATTCTGAATGAAGTTGGTCATCTGATGAGGGAGGTGGGGAGAAAAGCAATTACTGACAATTAACTGTTACTGACTTTAATCAGGCTTCCAGTCTGGTGACGTCCCTTTGGCTTGATCTTTTGACCCCTAGCAAGGGTACAACATCAGCTCCTGCTTGTTTGCCAATAATTCACTACGTTCAGTCTGATAGATGTGGTGTCTAGAGCGCAAAAGTAGCTGAAAATGAATTGAGCAGACATTTTAAAGTCGAATCTAATCCTTGTTGGTAAAAACAGATCATAGGGGAAAAATCTGATCAAGATGAAGCTAGTTGGAATGAAAAGTGATGCCAAAAGAAGGTCAGATCCAACTAATAATTAAAAATTTTCGTGTTTTTTTTTGGATAAGTGGCGATAGCTAGACTAAACAGAGTAGTTTTAATTATCCACAGGTACTTTGTAAGTCTCTGAAAGCCTTTGCTTATGTTTGGTCCACAGCGGTGCCGAGCCTTGCTCCTTTTTGTTTCAGTTAACGTGTATTTGTAACACAACATAGCAGATTTTCAGTTAGTTGCTTCCCTTATTTCAACAATCAGCCTCAGACGAAAAGAAATGTAAATAAGTGAGAAACTGCCTAAATCTTACCTCCCAAGGGCACTTTGGTCCATAGCAAGCTACCAGCTATCATTTATCTATTTATTTATTTCCTTCAGACCAGATCGAGGTCACATAGCGAGTGTGTTGAGCCATAAGGTTGGAGGCTGATAAGAACCTCGGGGACTTCACTCGTTTTACCATTTATTCCCACCGCACAGAGCTGATGAATCTACAGCCAAAAACCCACTGAACCACGTCGCTTCACCTTAACACTGGCATGTTTACAGAAAGCCTCTAACCTTCTCTCAGTCTGGCTCAGGTCCTTAATGTGATTACCGGGTTCTTCAGTACAGGAGCCTACGTTTGCCTTTCCAGCCCTCACAACCCGCCCAGGAGTCATTTCTGCACGACTCACATTATTGAAATGTAAATTTTCAAGCTTCTAATATCGCTTATCAAACCAAATGTGCGACACCTGTAAATAGGAAATAAGCTTCAAAGTTATGAAGAGATTTGCTTCACGCATCTACATTTGCGGAATGAGCAAAGCTTTTATTCATTCACACACCTTAAAATACAAACATGACTCTCCAACTACGCTACTCTAACTATCCCCTTTGCTCATATGGAGGAGCCTGAGAATAATGAATGCCTCAGCCCCAACTCAACCCTCCCACATACATGTAATCACTCGCACTAACATTCACTATCTGTATGTGTGCATTACTGAACATATGTAGTTAGGTGTTTCACATCAATAAGCATGCTCAACAAATAGTGTCCCTGACCTTCCCTTACACTGGCAAATTGCCAGGGGGAACAATTAGCCTGATAAGGATCATTTAATGCCCTCCCTAAAGAAAGGCATTCTAATACAAATGCAAATAAATCTTCATCCCGTCCGCTCATTATCACCCTAAATGGTGCTTCTGTAGAAGGAAAAGTGGAAGCGGCGTCGTGAAATTATTGTTTTGTAAATGGTAGTTTGATGGAATTAGGAAGAAAAAGATGGCCGGGTCTTAAGTCATTAATGCTGCGATTTCTAGTGAAACAGTAAAGCTACAGTGTGTCAGTAATGAGGTAGAAGGTGCTTGTCACCACCCTAATTTGCTAATTACAACAAACTAAAGAAGTCAGTGAAGCCTGTGAGGACCAAAGTGCCCAGTATGAGGCAGTCTTGTAAAATGCTTGGTTCTTACTCTCACTGTTGTGGTGAAAAGCAGGATCATCTGGAACAACCACAAAAAATGTCACTGAAGTATCACTGAAATTTTCAAATCACTCAGAGAGAATAGCGTTTGAACTCTGGACCTATAGGCTGAGTGATCCACGCCACTAGACGCCTCTTAGGAACCATCCATGTCTGTCTTGTAGAGACAACATCTATGCTCTTTACTAGTCTGCTGTTGATGTTCACCTAGAGAACTTCCAAAGGGTCTTAGCCTTTGATTTTCCAGCTTACAGCTTCTGCTGGGCAGAAACACCCTTCCAGTAGTCCAAAATATCATGAAGATCCTCGTCCTTGGCAAACTGCACCTTCTTACGCAACGCATGACCTGCTGCTATGTAGGATGCTTCCTCACGGGGGTTTTTCTTGTATGGTCGAAATCGCTCCCAGATTCGCAGTGTGCTCTCAGACGAGTACTCTGGACTAGATGAGTAGCCAGAGTTGTAGCTGTGGTGACGAGAAGGAGAGAGCTGGGAATAGGTGACTGTGGCATCTCTTTTGGTGCGCCCCCGTGGCTTGAGAAATGAGGCCCTTTGGGCTGGTGAGGGCAGGTCATTACCATCCTCATAGTAGAGTGCAGGAAAGGAGTGCCGGTGCTCTGTGCTGTGGTAGTCTTGCTGGACCTCTAAATGATGCTGCTGCTGTCCAGCGCCAACAACCCCACATCCACCACCATTTCCATTATTACATCCAATTCCACCCCCATTTAAACTTAACCCACCACTATTCAGGTTTCCCTTCCCATTGCCATTGCAGCCCCCTACACCACCAGTGCCTCCACCTCCACCTCCACTATCGCTACAGGCAACAGGACTCCCCTTCTCTGAGGGATACTTGGGTGGATCGTGGCGTTGCTCAGGGACTTCCATACTGTACACTCTTGCATTCTTGCCAGTTCCTGATGCAGGGGTGCTACAACGGTTCTTCACAACTGCTGTGTCAGCACTCAGCTGCCTTTGAAGAGGCCGCACTGCATTAGCTGGGGGTGGGTCACGGTAAGGAGGGGTAAGGAACCCACCTCCACTGATTCCAGGCCGTTCAGACAGGGGCATGACCAAGGGCACTGGCGCCATAGATGGATGGGGCTGCTGATGTAATTGTGGGTGAGGCTGGGGATGAGGCTGAGGCTGGGGGTGTGGCTGAGAATGAGGATGAGGGTGTGGCTGAGAATGAGGATGAGGGTGTGACTGAGGATGAGGATGAGGGTGTGGCTGAAGATGAGGCTGAGAATGAGTTTGAGAGTGTGGCTGTGGGTGAGGCTGAGGGTGTGCTTGAGACTTTGGATGCACCTTTGGAGAAGAGGCCATGATCTGATCTCCCAGGTGGCCAGGAGAGAGGGGCAGGAAGTTGCGGGGGACGGATGCAATGCAAGGAGAGGACAGTGAGTTGCCGTTGTCAGCTGTAGCCACAGCATTCGATGATGCGTCCATCTTTAGGGCATCAATACAGTTATTGATGATCTGGTTCACCTTGTCCACTTCCTTGGCGATTGTGGAGATTTCTGAAGCTGAGCCATGACCGTCATCATCTGAATCCTCCCCAGCCTCCATCCCATTATCAGCTCCACCTCTCATATCAACCACTACCTCTCCTCCAATAGCTAGTCCTGTTGCAGCCACAACTCCATCTCTACCTTCTGCTGCCACTCCCGTTGTCCTAATATCCATGTAGTTGCTTTTACTGCCCATTGCGTCAGAGTAAGCACTAGCCATTTTTTCTACCTGTGGCAAAGTGGAAAGGCGAGAGGAGCTGGTGTTGGCTGATCCATGAAGCATTCCTGTGCTAGAAGAGGTAGATGGTGGAAGCTTGCCTCCAGCTCCTCCTGAATGATGGTGCTGGTGGTGAGCCTGTTCTTGGAGACGCTGCATGGCGTTAGGGTCATTGGCCACTGCTGCAGCAACCTCTGGCCCATACCTAAAAGAGAAGATTCCTCATTAGAAAGAAGAGAACATCTTTTGTCTGATGCTCTAAGAACATAAATAAATCTTCAATGTGAAACCTAATGGTTTGAAAAAAATCATTTTAGTAAACGCTAATCCCTACTTCACTGGAAGCATCAACAGCTTGGAATGGCAGCAGAACACCACCGCTTCAAATTAGAATCCATTATATTCTAGGAGGGTGATTGAAACCAACTGCGACGTGGACATTTTCAGGTGCGACACGCCAGCCCCGCTGCTAAAGGTAAAATCTTTAAACCGCGAGCTGCTCCTGAAACCCATCAATTTCTATTGTTAGCATAGGGCTAGACAGAGAATATTATTCTTACTAGTTAACAGTGAAATTAAAGGTGTCAACAGAATTGTTTATACTAATAGAAATTATTTTTATATATTAACAACTGCAGAAGTAGGAATTAAGATTGATATCTCAAATCCTTTAATATCTGATAGGTAGTCGTTTCATCATTTATTAGGCAGACTGGATATTTCCTCCAGATATTTACTGTGAATCTATTTAACATTTTAGATGAGCAGCAGATTAAAGTTAACTTCTTAGAATCATTTAAAAGAGCAACTGTCCCAAAAGTTCTGGTTTCTGTAAAATCCACATCAGCTCCATGGAAAGCAAAAATGAAATTACCCTGAAGTTAGTTTTAGGTAGTAATTATGACAGGTTTTCATCCTGGTTGCTAATGATTCACCAAGTTTTGACAGTGATGCACCAGGTCTGATCATCAGATTGTGTTGTTGTTAATCATAGCTGAAAGCAAGGTGTTGCAGAGCATCAAAAGGGTACTTTGTCATAAAGACAAGAGCAAAAACAGATATGCATTCATCTACAAGTTACACATTACATGTTTGTAAGGACGCAATTTTCACTTTAGAAGTGGGGGGGACACGGGGGGGGGGGGGGGGGGGGGGGGGTCTTGACAGTATGCTCTAATGGGAAACTGTCATGGTTCTGCCTTCTCTCTGCTTCTGCTGCTATTTTCCCTTCATTGTTTGCAGGTGAGTGTGTTGGGTAGCAGCAGCAGCTGCAGCTAATTACCATCAGCCTGGCCAGAGGATTTAAGGAGTGGTGCTGCCACACCTCAATGCCGGTTGATACTCTACTGTTGGGTACATCTAGCCACGTCCTTATCTGTGCCTTGACTTTAAGACTCGTTTACCTGAACTAACCCAGCTCCAGTAGCGGTTTTAGGCACGGGCAGACAGGGCAGTTGCCCGGGGCGGCATTTTTTCATGACACAAAAGGGGCGCACAAGCGCGGAGTAAAAAAAAAAAAAAAGGAAATCTGCGCCGCACCGAGGTTTTCTATTATCTGTCATATGACAGTGTCTGGATTGGAAACAGCAAGTTGGCGCCCCCTGCAGCTGCAGGCGCTCCTGCTGACTGAGAACGTTCACATGCACCGTGTGTCTATGAAGAACAGGAAGGGGAGGGGTGCGGCGGGGGAATTCACCTCTGCGTCTTTCCCAAATGAATGAGCGTGCAGGGGCTGAATCAACTGTATTAACATGGCTAAAGTCAATCACATCTTAACGTTCTTCCATTTAATGCACATTTCATTCATAATATAAACACAGGCCTACCATTCTTTCAGGTTTCTCTGAATTGTGTGAAATGGCCGAATAAAAAAAGGAAAAACAAAACGATTTTGTGGTCACCCCCCCATCAAGGTCAAATTGTTTAGTCCTGACTAAAGGAAACTTACTGAGTCAGGAGCCAAACAGAAGAGATGAACATAAAAAGGCTAAAACCACCAGGTGCCCCATTCAGGGGGAAAGAAAAAGAAAAAAGAGGAGAAAGATAAAGGTATGTAGCTCTCATGATGCATGTTTCCAATGTTTTGAACCAGTTAACTGGGATTTTAACGGTTAAATGCGGTCAGCTAACTGCTAACAGAGCTAATAGGGCTGAAATATTGAAACGAATATTCAAATGGTTCGAAAAAAGTCCTTGAATCTTTTTTTACTGATTCAAACTAGGATTTGTTAAATGCTCACTGCAGCCTGTGGCCTGCCTGAACAACAACAAACACATGTTGATCATGTTCACATAATAATAAATAAAACAACTGTACAAGCAGAAGAAAACTCCCCAATCTCCACTAACTATCCTGTTTATTTATTGCAGATGGCTGCACTGATTATTTTTTACATGATTCGTTCTGTAAAAGTTGGCATTTTTGGTAGTCTACAGTTTTTTATGTCAGTTTAAATTACAATTTCAGAGGCAATTCTAAAATATTATGGATCAGGATAAAGATCTATTGGAGATCTACCCCAACTTTTGGACTGCTCTGCCAGTCCCTGTGGCTCCAGCTGAGAGGAGCTTTTCAAAACTTGATCAAGTCATACCTGAGGTCACCTATGTTTCAGGGGCGGCTCACTAACCTGGCTCTGATTAGTATCAATCACTCAGTTGGGGAGCAGATTTCATATGATGACATTATTGATGACTTTGCATCAAGGTTAGGTTTTAATTTTAGTTTGTGTTTTCTATTCTAAGTGCAATGCTGTAGTGATTATCTTTAGATTGTTATGTGTGAAATATTTTTGCTATTTAGAATATTTATTATATATTATGATCATATATTCTTAATATTTAGTTATTGTTTGTTTTTGTATTTTTGATTCTATATATTTTGATACAGTATATAATGTATATTGCTTTACATTCTGACAACTTCATAGTAATTAATGTAAATATGTGCAACTTAGAAAAATGAATGCTCAATAGTCGTTCTAATAAAACATGACTTTTTGTAGAAAACATGCGTGTGTTCATGCAGGTGGGGTGGTGGTGGTGGTGGGGCGGTTGGGGGGGGGGGGGGGGGGGCGCTCAAAGGGGGCCTTGCCCGGGGAGTAATTCGATGTAGAACCGCCACTGCCCAGCTCTGCATTCTTGTCTGTACCAGCCCTGGATTCCCTCCACCTGCCTGAGGTGTGATTTATCACAAGCGTCGTTCAGCTTCCCTGGCCTCCTGCTCTCCACTGCTCACCTGCCTTCCTGGATCCAGCATCTCCTCCAGCGACCATCTCCTCCCTGCATCAACCTGACTTGCCTCTCCCTCCTGCCCCTCGTCCTGCTCAACTCAGTAAGCCCGTTCCCCTCAGGATTATTCATCTCCTGGTTCTCAGTTCCTAATCACTCTCACCGTTCTTCTTAGAGTCGGAGTTGCCTCGTTTCCTGTCCCGTTTGGATCAGCGCCCTCAGTTTTCGCTTTGTTTTCTTTATAAAATAAAGATTTTATTATCATCTCTTACCTTATCCCTGAGTGATTCTTCATGTGGGTTAAGAAATTACCACCCATCATGACAGAAACAGGCTTCAACACAAACGGTTGTTTTCCGCTTGGTCCTAGAGCTCAACCAGTGTCAATTTAATATAGTGTAATATTGTTTTTGGATGGTAAAAATTGCAGGGGTCAAAACTTGACTTTGGAAAAAATGGGGGGGACATGTCCCCCCCCCCAAAATTACGTCCATGCATGTTTGTAATTTTACAATACAAACTATCGAGTGTTTGAAATTCATGTGTTTCAATACCTTACAGTGAGTAAAGACTCAGTGGTCTTCAAAGTGCTGCTGAAAACTCACCTACTCAAGCTGGCTTTTGCGTGACACTTGTCACCACCCTTTCCTTATTCTGCGTTTGTTCCGCCTCTCCTGGGATCCACTGATTTGCCTCATTCCTGTTCATTTCCCCTCTCCTTGTCCTTACATTTTTATCACAATTTTAACTTTTTCTCATTTTAAACATTTTTAATCATTTTTTGAAATATTTTTTATATTGAATTTATTTTTGTTTGTTTTAGTGAAGCGCCTCGTGCTTTTTATCTCGAGAGGTGCTATTTAAAAGACAGTTTTCATTCTTTTCTTTTATATAATGGGGACAATACATTTAAAAAAAACATGCCCAGAGAGCCAAGAAAAACACTCAAAATTGATGAAAATGCTATAGCTTCTGTGGGCTTTGTGCCCTTGGCCCACACAGCAACGTTTCACCTTGACCCCAGTAGCTGCGGTGGCCCCCACACCCCTGGCAGTGGAGAGGAACAACATCATGTATGACATCAAACTGCAATATCAAATGTAATTTCCTTCTTTTTGGTTTAATGGCAGATGGCATAAACTTGAGGAATTTTGTGATCTCACAAGTTCAGTGAGGAAAACAGCAAAGAAGCCGCTCCGTGGCTGAGATTCTCCTGTCATGCAGGGAAAGTCACGCTGTTCTTCTGCTCATGCTTCCAGTAGGGGTAAAACACGATGTGGCAAAACTGCTGCAGATCAGAGCATCTCTAATATTATCTATTACTCTTATGGTTCCTCTTATATCTTAATGTTTAATGTACTCCACAAGACCCTTAAAACAGCCACCCACCTCATCTCCAGAATTGTCTTCTTCACACTTATGTTTTTTTCATTCTCCTCCTGGATACGGCGCCGTCTGAGGCAGTAGTAGACAAATCCAAGCACAATGACCATGCCAAAGAGACATCCCAGGATGGTCATGATGTAGTGAGTAGTTGTAGATGGACTGGTATGGTGGTCCTCTGGTAACATAGCCCGAGTGGTAAACGACAGGCAAGTGTGGTTGTAGTGCTGGGATTTACTGACAGCAGCCACACAAAAGGTGTAGTTTGTGTGCGGTTTCAGCTTCTCCAAGTTAATTTCCTCTAGTTTGTTTTTAAGAGTTTGAATGTCTGTAACAGATGTGTGGTTGTACTGGGCGAGGACATACATCTTGCTGTAAGGGTTCGGAATGTGCACAAGGAGAGAGGCAGTGTGAAGAGAGACGGTTTCAAGCTTCATCGTGATCTGTGTGGTGTAGTTAGGATCAGCTGTTGTTACGACGGTAAAGTACTGCAACGTGTCTGCTTTGTCCAAACCCATCCCAGAGCCATCTGGATCAGGCATCTGTGGGGTCATCCCCGCCATCTCTGGAATAATGACGCCATCTCGACAGGCGGTCAAAAGAATGTGACGAGCGTTCCTTCCGTGTCCAGGCACTGGGCTCAAAAGTGGGTAACCCATCATTTCAGGGGGGGTTTCACACTGGAGGCGGTCATAGGTGTGGGTAATATTGTTAAACTCCTCTAGCCAAGTCAGAAAGCTGTACAGCTCACAGCCACAGTGGAAAGGGTTTCCTGCCAATTCACAAACCATCAGTCTGCTAACAACGGTGAAGGTAGATTGGTCTAGACGGGCCAACTTGTTAGAGGATAAATCCAAGCTGCTAAGACTAGGGCACTCCCAGAAGGCATTGGTGGAAATGACTTCAATGAGGTTGTGTTGCAAAAAGAGGCACTGCATTCGGCCCAGACCTCTCAACATTCCCTCAGTTAGGTTGGTCAGTTTGTTGTAGCCCAGTTGAAGAACCTGACAAGAAAAGAACATCCTTTAAATATCTAAGTGGAACAGAGAGCACGGCAAAAGGACCGGTTTGCTTGATCTGAGAGGTAATTGCTACTTGTACCTTTTTCCACACGACGAGTTCAAATATGTATTAAAATTTTTGCTGTAACTTTTCTTCTATTTTAGCTACACTTGCCAGTTTTATATTTTCAACCCTTTACTGGTTTTTATTTGGACTTTATTTGTTTATTTGGCCAGTGTGAGTCCATGTGAGGCGAGCTGAATAAATCTACTAGAATGCTGCTTGGACATGATCATATTCAAAGGTGTTTAGATCTGCTTCACCTGGCTAAATACATCACTACTAAACACCACTGAGATTTGAACCCACATCAGCACCTGACAAAAGTAAGATGGTCAACACTCGAAGCACTGGACCACTTTGACCAAAACAACTGACTCGCCTGAGACGCTGTTGTAAGCACGTTTTGTTGGAGCGAGCGTGGGTGGAGTTTCACTGAAATAAAGTGTTTTATTTCTGCGTATAAATTCAGGCCGACAAAAATAACACGTATTTAAGATAAATAATATCTCAATGGTGACAACAGCAATATTTTGTCATCTACTGTGCCCAGCTTTGCTTTCAGATGTTTAAAATAGAATGATATGGAACCGTTACATAAAACAACTAAAATAAAAGCTATTACCATATTTGGATGAATGTAGCAACACAGTTTAGAGAAAAACAAATGTGGCGTTTCTTCTATTTGATTTCATAAAATAAAAATGGTTTTATAATGTGTAGAGTTTAGCAACAACAAGTACCAGTGTGGAAGACTGTAAAAGATATAATTTCTTCACCCTGAAAGTGTGAAGAAAAGAATGTTTGGGTTATGTAACATGGACTTCTCTAAAATCGTATTAATGTGACCATGACACACTTCATATCAGAAAAGGAGCTATTAAACTAAAGAGTTTCATTGACAGAGAGTAATGCGGAAGGGCAAAATGAACTCATTTGACTTTAATCTGTTCTCTTTGATTTTTGCCTTCAAAACAGGAAAACACACATGGCACGAGAAACACACACAGAGTAACAAACCTGCAGGTTTGACTGCCCAGCAAAGGCCCCATCTTCAATGTAGCTGATCTCATTTTTTGTTAGGTTGAGGTCAGTAAGGTTTGTGAAGCGATACATGGAGGTAAAGAGCACCGCCTTGAGTTTGTTCTCGTTCAGTCTCAAATCCTGAACCTGAGAAACGGGTAAACATACCATCAACAATTGTAAATATCAACTCTCTGTGTCAAAATACTGCACATTTTCTTTTTTAGAAGCTAGCCAAAATGTGTGCTTGTGTGTGTGTGTGTGTGTGTGTGTGTGTGTGTGTGCATGCGCGCACATTTTCAAAGTCTAACATAAAGTGAGATTATCTCTATTAAGGCAGTTAGGCTGTTGGTTTGCCTGCATCATCAAGGTTTGTACAAAGGAAAACAAAAATATGGAATACTCACTTAGAAATGTTTCTACATGTTTGTTTCATCTTAGAACATTTCTGAGCAATTTCAACTCCCAATATTGAACCAGGAAGATAGAACAAATGTGTCAAAGATAAAAGAGAAAAATAAATTGGGCAGTACAAATACTTCCAAGCACAACCTGACACCCCAAAGCTTCTGGAACTTGCATTCTGACTTTTGCCGATGTGTTGCTGCATTGTGGCATAACTCCGAACAGTGCACCGCCCAAACACCTAACAGCAATTGTAACAAGGTGGAGGAGTGGTGATGATTTGATCTTGTCATGCATTCATTGCACCAAGACACCATAGTGGTTACTGAGCCAGTCACTATCTCTTCTGTTTTCTAGAGCCAGTTGTTTGGCCAGCTATGAAACATTTTGATGTTTCCATGCTGCATGATGAGGGCGGAGCATGTTTACCTATCTATACCAGAACACTTTAAAAAGGAATTAAAGTTAGATGCTGCAATGGCCTTGAGTGCATCATGTGCCAGTCAGCACTTGGAAAGATGTCCCTTCAACAATGTGAGAAACAGATGAGCTCATAGCTAGGATAAATGCTGCTTTTATGTTATCATGTATGTTTGTTTTGGAAGATTTTAGATACCCCAAAATACTGCCTCAGATTTCCAAATTATTTTTAACTTTAATTCAGTCATAATATTAAAAAAAATGCATTTCAATAACCTTAGAGCTGATCTGAAATTCACTTGTTGTAGAAATTGTCTACAGTGACGTAATCACTGTTAAGTGAGGAAACACACTTTGTTGAAGCTTTGCAACAGATGCAGCGACAAATAGGCACATCTGCTTTTGAGTCGACACTATCATAGCTGAAATGCATCAAGGCATATAATTTAACAGAGGTGGAGGTGTGAGTACAAAAACTGATAAAAGACTGATAGGTTATTACTGACCGTGCTGTTGATGTGCTGGGGAATGGTTTCGTATGGAGGCTGGTTCTGACTGCAGATGGCTAACCAAACGTAACCTTTATCCCCCTCTATCAGCCAGCAGTCCCCTTTCACTGAAGCAGGCAGGCGGAGGATCACCAGTGCAGGAAGCAGGATGGAAAGAAGGAGGGAGGGAGACAGGAAGGACAGTTTTCTGGCCATGGTTTGAATTTGGAGTGTTTGATGTCGCCTTGGTGGAAAGGGTGTAAAAAAGAAAGGTGACTGTAGAGAGGAGCAGTTCAAATTCAAAACGAGATGGGGTTGCAGGTTAGGGGGCAAGGGGGGCAAATCCTAGCGGGAGAAAAATGTGAAGCGAGAGGGGTTCTTCTTGATAATTAGAGCCGAGCTTGAGGCATGGCAAAGATTCTTGTCCCCATTTTAGGTGTTCCACGTCGAAGGGTTTTGAAGGACGTCACCCCAGCAGCAACTCATGGCCCCTGACAGTCGTGCGTCTCAATAAAACAGAATTGGAAATTCTCCGAGCAAGGCTGTAGTCCTACATGAAAAGAGACAGAGAGAAGAAAAGAACAAATGTCATTAAGAGTTTAGCATTATTTCCAGAAACACCCAGTGCCTTGACCAAACAAAGTCATAAAACAATTTACAGTCAAGATACTTTCTTAAATCCTATTAAAGACCAGAGAAATGTCTTTTGACGTGTTGAAAATAACCAGACTTTATTATTTCTGTTCATTGACAGCTACCCAAAGAGGTTTGAATAAAGGCAGCTGGACTTCTCTGGTTTCCAGTAAATTTTGACTGGAATATGGGAGGGTCAAGCTTATAAATGTAGCTGTCTATTGTTGCTTAACAAGCTGAAACTACCTATGAATACCCCTCCTTCCTACCCCTGATCAGTCATTGAAGTCGTTAGCCCCCATTGTGTGGGGATGGTTGTTTTGATTAGATGCAGGAGGGTGTGACCTAGACTGAAACTGTTTTGGAATTAGGTTCAGGCATTGCAGGTGCTGGAAAGGTGAAACCGGACGCCTCTCCTCTGTTTAATGTCTTTCCTGTTTTAATCCTCTCTCTAAACATCTATCTTCTCTGTCCAGAATGTGTACCATCTTCCGTTTGTCCCTTAATCTTAATTATTACAAGCACCTCCATTCATAACCTTTTAGTATGTTTTTATTTTATTTTATGTTTTTAGTCGTGGCCTTGTTTTTACTCTAGTATGTTTATTTAAAATATTTTAATTATTTTAACTTATCATCCCTTTATTCTTTTATCTGAATTTTTACCTTGTTTGTTATTTCGGGGTCTCCTTCTTTTATTGTACAGCACTTCTGTCAGCTGGAATGCTATTTTTAAATGTACTTTATAAATAAACCTGGTATGGTACGTTCTGGTACACCTTAGTAAACGATACAGTGATAAACATGCAGATTTCTAACATATCTGACGTCACATCCTCTTACAGTAGCTAATTTGTCCGTTTTTACCATAGTCATCAACACGAAGGTACAGCAGTTAGTAATTTCAGGTTTAAAGAATGTCGTGTGTAATAAAACAATGAGGGTGTAATTGCTATGGTAATACAAAGGTGGAAAAAGGGAGATGGGTTAAGTGGAACACACAGAAGGGCTGTTCTAATTTGCATGTTTAACGGGATACCAGCTGACATTTAGCTATTTACCTTTCTCATGGGGATTAACTGCGGTTTAGGCTCTAATCCAGCGTAAAATATTATGTATCTCGTCACCACAGCTCCCACTGTTTTAATTTGTTTCCAAAAGTTTTCTAAGCCAGAGGAAAAGCTGTCTCTTGAAGGCATGAGATGCTCAGACCTGTTTTTATTAGTCTTGATTTCAAATGAATCCTCTTTAATTCTCTTCAGTTGTCTCAAGAGGATTGCCTGTTGTAAAAAATAAAAAATAATAAATGAAACACTTAAATCCAGCAATTGTTGAAGCCAATTTTGGACACTTTCTCCTACATACTCATTATCTTTCATTACACTTAATATTTGATTGCAAGGTTAAAACCGTAGAAAAACAACAATACAGTTGAGTGAATAAATACATCATTAGGTCATTGGTAATATGGACTAATGGGAGTTAATTCCAGAATAAATAATTACATTTGGAATTTAGTAATAACAATTAAAAGACAAATCCAGTTAAAAAACAGAAACGTGCAAAATCAAATGCACCATGAAATAACACAATTTCTCTCTGGTAATATTATTGGAATGTTTTAATTTATCTTTAATGTTTTTAGGCATTATGTGCATTTTATTTTATTTGATTTTAGTGTTTTTTATGTCTTATGACACCCATTTTTAGTATTGTCTCATTGTTGTCTTTAATTTTAACCCTTAGAGGTCCCTCGTGCATTTATTTGTGCAGACGGTCATGTTTTTTGAATAACTTTGGCTGTGCTGATGCAATCTTTTAATGTTTTGCTCTGGTTTGTGTTTTTGGGGAAATTTATCAAAAATAAAATGAAGAAAATAAAATAAAATGAGGAAAAGAAAAAAGACAATTTGTAAATGTATTAAATGTATTTCATAATTGTAATACATAATCTTACAATTTTTTATGAAATATTCAGACTATTTTGTACATTGGATTTCATTTATGACAAGCCTTGAATTTGAGCTGCTGTTGTAAGTTTTTACTTTGACAGAAAACTGTCTTTAATCAAGACGTCAGCATATTATAGCCACAGCTTGGATGAGGTCATAAATGAAATAAAGCATCTTTCATTAATTGTTTATTACGCGTCAGCTTTAAAAGATGAGTAAATGCGATGACTTAGCTACATGAAGCATGTCTGTGAATACAAGCATGATCTTGTTTCACCTTCCAGAAATATGCAAATATTCTTTACGTAACAAGTTGGATTTTAACCCCAAATTCAAACGGACACATTTTTGCTTAAAAAAAAAACTAAATCGATTTATGTTACGTCTTTGTTTTTATCACCTGCCAAAAGGTAGGAGGGCAGGAATGGTTTTAGTGATGATTGTACATACGTGTGAGTGTATGTGTGTGTGTGTGTGTGTGTGTGTTGTTAGAAAAATATCTTATGAACAATTTGATTTTTTTAATTAAACTCTCAGAATTGAATCACTCCTTTGGATACAAAGAGAAGTAGCTTCTCTATGAAAAACATCATCATGTTGTATTTCTGTATTTAGTAAAGACCATAGCTTACAAAAAATGTGAGTGACCAAATTCATTTGGAGCCCCAAAAGCAAAGATGTTCAGTTTTCAGGGTAACCTTTGACCCTAGAGCCCCCTGCATAGAGTAAACTCAAACTGCTGTCGAGACATTGTAAATGACATGGTGCCTGGACACAGCGACTTTATCACCAGAACTCCTACAGTAACAGTTTGCGGCTGGAAACAAACTGAGGAATGTGCCTAGCTAAAAGGAGGCTGTTAGTGGAGCTAAAAGCAAGAGACAACTGCCAGAACTTCAGAACCTTTTCCGAGTGTAAAGGTTCTCCAGGTCAACACCAATACCTGTAATCTGACGTGGCCTAGATTGAAATACCTCTGTTACCTTTTTCAATGTAATCCTTGTCTGCAGCGTATATTACACTCCAACATAAGGTACGGCTCAGCATGAAAACGAACCACAGTTTCAAAACAATATATCAAAGAAATGTTTAAACACCCCAAACATGGAAGTAAAACCCCATTTTACTTTCCATCTCCTCACTGTAGCTCAGATTCCCAGAACATATGATGCTGTGGTACAAATACATAAAACACACGTCAGTCATAACTCACCTGAACAGTTGTTTACTGCATGATCCAGTCAGATTAGCTTAAATCTGCGCATGATTTCTTTTTTTATGATGCTGTAAGGATCCTGGCCACATCACTCCTGTTTTATCATCTGGGTCAGTCAGTCACTCCAGCTCTATGCTGCTCTATTTTATTTTATCTGGCAGCCTTCTATTTCCTGTCCATCTCTTTGTCTTATCTTCATTGTTTAAGGCCTGCATATCTTTGCTGCCTTTCAGGAACCTGCTCCATCGCCAAAAACAGCCTGACTTCGTTTAGTGGGTCTTCTCATCCCCTCGTTGCTGCTTTTATCATATCCATGACCTGGGTGTGATTTCAAGAAAGTTTCCAAAGAAGAAAACGGTCAATTTCCCCCATTTATTTATTTATTTATTTATTCATTCATTCATTCATTCATTCATTCGTTCATTCATTCATACATTTATTTATTTATTTATTTATTTAATCAGCTCTGATGACTAAAATTAAATTAAACATTGGAGCTGATAAATAAAATCTAAATTTTACTGGAATTATTTTTTTGTACTATTTGTTATTTAATTAAATAAAAATAGAGACTTTACTGTTGGTGATGCTCAGGAGTCACCTCGATGTAAGACCCCCTTCACACTATGATGAAAAGAAAAGGAGTGACCCTGTTTCAAGCAACATGCTCACAAGTTTAAATTAGAACCCTGAAACGGAAGAGAATGTAAAAAAATCATGAGCTTAAATTATGGAAAGCTATTGGAAAACACTGTTGAAAAAGTAAAAAATAAATAAATATGTTTTAATGGCCCTAATAACTTTTAAAATGTTAAACTTAACTTTTTAAAAGTAGAAGTATAAAGGGATTTTGCCGAGCGATGCAACATCACACTTCTGTGATGCGTCCACAATGCGCCGCTTCGTGGCTGGTGGAAACACACCCATGAACTCTAACGGAAGCTAGCTGCGTACGACGCTTCAGGAACACGTCTACACATCCAGTGGAAAGCCAGTCATGATCCAGCCATGATATAACAAACTAAAGGAATTCTATGCAGTTTTGGCTTGCTTTTAGCACCCTCTGGTGTTTGTTAGTAACAACAAAAGTAAAACTCAGCTCCTTGCTGTGCATTTGTCTATTTAACACCTTAATCTAAATGCTCCCCTCAGCCTTCATTAGTTTCTACAGGAGTTATTCATCTCTAAATAAAACAACTCAGCTGTGATCTAAAACATGCAGGAAACCTGCTGGAAGCAGACTGCAGCGCTGGCATGTTAGCTCCACTTTACGTAGTCCAACAGGGACTGGATGGCAGCTCTGAAGTTGCAAGTGTGGTATTCTGGCCACAGAGGACAGTGGGGGTCTGAGCGACATTTCATTAACCCCTTAAAGACTCACTGTAGCACATACTGGCTAAAGAAATATGTAAACATACGAAAAAGTTTCACAGTGTACCTTTAAGTATAGTCTTTTATGTTGACTGTAAGACCCCCCCCCCCAACAAACAAACAAACAAACAAACAAACAAACAAACAAACAAACAAACCAAAAACATGCATTTTACATAGAATGTCATCTTAAAACAACCTTTGTTGACAACAATAAGCTCAATGGGCAATACATGTACAAAATAAAGAAATTATAGAATAAATATGTAACCGAAAAAATGTGTGCTTCCTTAAATGCAGATTTATTTAAAAAGTACTGCTGTATGTTTTACTTTAGCTAACAGTGAGAATGCAAATATCATGTTTGTAAAAAATCCAA